TACAATAAAGTAGAATTAGCTCATCTAGTCATGTTTCCTGTCTGATTTACCTGGGAGGGCTGACATGGACAAAGGTATTCGGAAAAAGGAAAGCCTGTATATTGGCCATATAAAATTGCTATGGGCATTCCATCAATATGTGCTACCATAAATGCCCTCCTCTGTTTGGCCTGAGTGAATCCATGGAGATAGTTTGCCAACTGATCAATTATGTGCCATCAAGTAGTTTCTGGCTCCTAGCAACCACATAGATAGATCTTCTCAATGACAATCTAACCCTAACATGTTCTTTCAAGTCTCCCAACAGTGCACTCATCACCACTGTAACCTTGATGCTGGTCATCTTCTTCTTCTCTTTCCTTCAACCTTTCTCAGCATTATTACAGAAAACCTGAGCTGGGTTTTTGCATATGTGTCTGAAATAGGATAATTTGAGCCTGGTCATTTGTGCCTCGTTTGATGATCCATTTGGTTGTTTTCTTGGCTGTCCATGGTATTCTCGGGACTCTTCTCCAACAGCAAAGTTCAAATGTGTCAATACTCTTCCTATCCTGCTTCTTTAACGTACAACTTTCACTTCCATAGAGTGTCACAGGGAATATCATGGTTTGCACGATTCTGATCTTTGTAGGTATAGACAGATCACAGCATTTGAATATCTTTTCCAAGGCCTTCGTGGCTGCTTTGCCAAGTGCTAGTCTGCAGCATATTTCTTGACTGCTTGTTCCTTTACAATTGATGGTTGATCCTAAAAGGCAGAAGCTTTTAGTATCTTCATTGTCAGTGCTAAGGCTGGGGTTCTACCTGTTGTCACTAGTTTGGGTTTTTGTTTTTCTTTTAATATGTATATACTTAATTTTAGTCCCATTTTTTCGCTGTATTCTTTGACTTTTAGTACAAGGCCTTGGAGGTACCTTGCATTTTTGGTTCTCAGGGTAGTGTCATCAGCATAGTGCAGGTTATTGATGTTTCTTCCTCCAATTTTAAAACCACGCTTATTTTCTTCCAATCCAGCTACCCTTAATATATATATATATTACATACAGATTGAATAAATAAGGACAGAGTATGCAGCCTTGATGCACTCCTTTGCCAACCTGGATCCAGTCTGTTTCACCATGTTCTGTCTGTACTGTGGCTTCCTGACCTGTATATACATTTCTCATGAGGACAATGAGATCTTCTGGGATACCCATTTTTCTGAGCACTTTCCACAGCTTGACATGATCAACACAATCAAAGGCTTTTCTATAATTGGTGAAGCACATACTGACTTCTTTTTGTTATTCTTTGGCTTTCTCAACTATCCAGCGTGCATCAGCAATAATGTCTCATGTTAGTCAGCCTTTTCTAAAACCCGCTTGAACATATGGCATCTCTTTTTCCACGTAGGGCTCTAATCTGCATTGGATGATCTTAAGCATTATTTTGCTAATGTGGGATATTAAGGATATTGTACAATAGTTTCCACACTCTGTTAAATCTTTTTTTTTTTTTGTATTGGAATGTAGATTTCCTCTTCCAATTGGTTGGCCACTGTGATGTTCTCCAGACTTGCTGGCATAGTTTGGTTAGAACCTTGACTGATACTTCTTCTGTTGCTTGCCATATTTCAGTCAGTATTCCATCAGTTCCTGTAGCCTTCCGACTTTGTAATACTCAGAGTGCTGATCTAACTTCATCTTCTAGTACTAGAGGTTCTTGTAAGTAAGGAATATCTTCTAAGGTATTTATTTATTTTACTGTATAGTGTTTCAGTATACTTCTTTGATCTTCTTTGAATCTGTTACTATCTGTCCATTGGCATCCTTTAGCATACCAATTTGAGGTAGGAACCTCCTTCTGAGTTCAGACATCTTTTGAAAGACTTTCCTTGTTTTTTGTTCTGACATCCGGTTTGCTTTCTTCTCTTTCTTCAGTTTTGGAAGTTTCTTTTTACATTCATCCTTAACTTCTTTAAGTTCATTCCATAATTCCTCTGGTTCTCTATCAATGAAGTTTGGGACTTCAAAGCAATTCCTGATGTTCTCCTTGAAAATGATGGGTATATATTCAAGATCATATAGTGCAAACTGACTTGCTTTCTTCTTCTTTAGCTTAACTTGGAACTTGCACATGAGCAGTTTGTGATCTGTTCCACAGTCAGCACCTGGCCACGTCTTTGATGCTATAATTGAGTTCTTCCACCTCCTCTTAGCAATTATATAGTCAATTTGATTTCTATATACTCCATCTGGTGATGTCCAGATGGAGTATGTGTTTAGTTGCTTGAAGACGGTGTTAGCTATAGAAGAACAGAAATCATTGGAGTAGCAGAAATTGATCAGTTGGTCTTCTGCTTCATTTCAGTTTGCTAAGCCATACAATCCAACTACATTTTCCTCTTTTGTGCTTCCAACTTTAGCATTCCAGCCTCCAGTCACAAGCAGCACATCTTGATTGCATATTTTGCTATTTCAAATTGAACTTGATCATAGAAGTCATCAACCTCCTCTTCTTCTGCATTGGTGGTTGGAGCATAAACTTGAATGACCATCATATTAAAGGTTTGTCCATTAAATCTAATCAATATTATTTGGTCATTAATTGCATTGTAGCCAAGTACTGTTCTTGATATACCTGTCCTAACTTATAACTTATAATTTTTATAATTTCTAATAATTTCTAATTATAATAATTATAATTATATCTGGATGGCAATGTCCCATAGGTGCTGTTTAACAATTTTCCTTGCCTCATGATAGAAAATCCAATGTAGTTAAAATTAATGATTGTGGGCCTATATTTGCCATCTTTTGCTCTCTTTCATATATACAACTTGAGGGTTTATCATGGAGAATTAGTGGATAAAGCCAAATTGCTGATATTTCAATCTGAGGTGGTAAGTAATTTTCACTAATCAGATCTGGGTCTCCATTTTTACCAATCCCAGTTCTGCTTTTAATGCAGCATAAGGGATAGCCCGAGGGCTCTCAGAGTAGTGAGCAAGAACTGAGTTTGAATTTGTTCCAGGGGGACAAAAATCTCTGGGGATGCAAAGTTGTGCCCCATATAATAGCTGCAGGATTATTTTACTATTAAATACTTTAACAACCACTGGAATATAAGTACTACACATACTAAAAAAAATAATAAGGAGCACTGCCATGCTTTTCTAGACTTCATGTGTTACATGGATTAGATGGATGTCCAGGAGCCATTATATTGGAAGACAATGCCCAAATATTTGTAAAACCTGGTCTGCTTGATATATTGCCCCTGAATTCACCAATTACATTCCTCAAAACAACTTTGGAACACCAGAATTTCGGTTTTTACATAGTTAATTTCAAGGTCTTCCTTCTGAGAGAATAGTGGAAACTTTCAAAGAGTTCTTTGTAAGCTTATTTCAGTAAAGGAAAGAAGCACTGTATCATCCACATTTGGCAGAGATGGGTTTACATGCTATCTATGGGGAATGGAAGTCAGGTTCATAAGGTTGAAATCAAAAAGAAATTAAACAAAAATGGGGCCAAAATATAATCCTGTCTCACTTTACATTGTAACTTTTTTGTTAAGTGTCCCACCATATCTTACCTACATCAAATTCCTGTCATAAAGGCTTAAGAATAAGCCTTTATTCTTAATAACAATATGGAAGCAACAATAAGGATATGGAAAATAGATAGGAATATAGAGGTAATGATCTACTAAAGAGGCCTCAAGTTCTTGCCAAAGTTTCTTCCTATTTATAGTATCAAAACCCAATTTAAAATCCACAAATGCACCATAACGGGCTACCTTTGGCCACTTTATATATTTGGCAATCAGAGGTTGTAAAGTCAGGTACTAATCAATCACAGAATGACCTTCTCTAAACCCCACCTGTTCAGCTGCATTGATTTTCTCATTATTTGACCAGTCCTGAATTTATCAAAAAGATGCCTTACATAAGCTCCCCAATTATACTTAAAAGGCTAATGGGGCAATAGTTAATCAGATCAGCTTTTGATCCTTTCTTGTAGACTGGAACAACCACTGCCAGACTCCAGTCCAAACTGCCCAGAGCCATCAATAAATGTGAAGAGAGCAGCCAAAATCAGGGCCCACTGGTCAGCATTATTTTTCATCATTTCTGCAGGAATATGTCCACAGCAAGCATCTTTGCTGCTATTCAGGTGGCTTATCAGCCTCTCACCACATGAGTTGTAACAGGAGGCCATCTTCAAAGTAATAATTTGTTAATGGGACCAAGGATGTTCTGCCACATAGCCACAAAATGTGACTGAAAATATAATTCAAATTGCTGTCTTGCGTACCAACTATGCAATAAAATGTTAGGACTTTAATTTATACTAATAATTTTTATTGTTATTTGAGATATTTTAGTTTGAACATGTATTTTGTACTGAATTGTACTACTTCAGGCTGATCTTTAATTGTAAGAAATTGACACTGAAATTGAACATGCCTTCTGAAGGTCAATTATGACTGCAGAAATATCTTAGCAAATGAAAATCTGTAATCTACAGATATAAACTGCAGATTCTTCAGTATGTTAAATGCTAAATTGACTTTACTTTTAGGAATATGTAAGCATGTTTGTGCTCATGTCAAGAGGGATTGGGTTATGTGTATGTCAAGGGAGATCTGTGCAATGTCTTCAGTGGTGCTAAAGTGTTTGTCCCATCATGGTTTATGCCTTCCTCAACAGCACTTTCCTGGGTAGAACATCAGTGGCAAATTCCAATGGCAATTTATCCTTGCAACTCACTTGCTATCTTGATTTATGAATTGTCTGAAAATTTTTGAGAAATGGCTCCCATTTTCCTTAAGGATTTCATTGCCTTAAGCTGAATGGTTAAAAACAAAACAAAAAGTCCATACAATGAAAACTTCCAAATTTTAATGGAAACATAACTTCCTAAAAAAAATAAAAAGTTTAATATGAAAAAAGATATCCTTCAGGCAAAATGTTTTACTTTTCAGATGTTATATTTCAACCTTTTATAGATATTTACCAAGACACTGTGTTTCAGTTCCACTCCAAAGTCCATTTGCTAAGCATTCTCTCACATGAGACCCAACAAGTGTATATCCAGTGTTACAGGTAAAGATTGCTGTGGCTCCATAAATGGTCATGGTCCCAATCTTATTTCCATTTGGTGGAGATGGAAGACTTCCACATGAAATAACTGAAAAGGGAAAATAAAGTAACTACAGCATGGCAGCAACAAGAAACTTATAAATTAATATTTTGGACCAGAACTGGATACATTTGGGAATCTTAAAAAAAAAACAAAAAACAAAACAACAGCAACTTTGGAACACTTTGAAGCTTCCAATTTTTTTATTGGTGCTATAAAGGAAAAGGTTAATCAAAGACCATTATAAGGATATGCAGCATACCAAAATTTGAGTTAGTCATTTATTTAAAAAGCCATTTATAAAATCATGTATATATTTATGTTATTTGTGTGGTTTGATATAACAAAAATTTTGAGCAGCTTGCACTAAATATAAAAATAGAGAGACCTCTCTGTTTGATATAAACATCCAAAATTTATCTTTTCCTTTCCTTGAACTAAAATTGATCAAGGTTTGTTCTTCTTACCACCCACAGAAGCTAGAAACTCATACTTTTTCCATTGAAGAAGTGAATCCATAAGTATATGTACATACAGGGCTCTCAATAGGGCTTTTAACATACCTGCACATGTGTGTGTATGTGTATAAAGCTTTCAAATTTCCTAATGAACTATACTCAAGTATATAATCAAGCTCTTACAGAATATTAGTATCTTCATGAGATATTGGCAATAAATATCTTTAAATAGAACTGAACAATGTATCAATAAAGATTTCTTACCCTTACATATTGGTCTCTCATCATTATCACTCCAGGTTCCATTAGTTGTACACATTATGAGTCTCTGCCCCACTAAATAATAACCAGGGCTGCAGCTCAACATGATTTGTGCTCCAAACTCATTCACTGACCCAGAAATCAGTCTCCAGATGACATGCTCTGAAAGCAGACTTTCAATGCTGGGGCAAATCACAGCTGTGAAATAAGAACAGTCCTGTATTAGGATTTTCCTTTTAAAATGACTTCACAAGAGGAATTTACCTGAGTGCCAGTAGATTTTTCCTTGTGAAATTGAGTGTGCTGTAAACATTATTCAACTGCATATTCTAGTGCAAATCACTCTTCTTTCTTTTTTAAAAATCACTAATAAGGGAAAGTGTTTTAAGTTTAGACACAGGAAAAACTGTAGATATCTATGCATTCTTGTAATTTTTTTTTAAATTTAGAAGAAAGAATATATTAAGTCTTAGTTATAAAATTTAAAACATGCTGTCCTGTCACAAACTGCATTGTTCTGATGCTGCATAGTATGTTTAGGATCACAGCCAAATTTACTTTATATTCAGTGGGGACTATAGAGAACTTAAACTCCTACCTAATGAGTAATACAGGTACAATTGTTAACAATACATTTATCTCATGAAACTTTAAACTGCATGACATGGTCTTTTAAAATGTTTTTAATGCGATCGATTCAGGTTCTTTGTACCAATCTGAATATCAAACATTACTTTTCTGATAGAATGGGGCACATGCCACCACCATTTTTTTTTTACATTGAAGAAAAGTGGGATTAAGGTTCATATGTCTGTTAATGTGGGGTCAAACAAAGCATGATGGCATAAAAGCTGATGAGCCAAACTGAATATATACACACAGAGAGAGCAGAGATAGAAAATAAAGATATAATGGTAAAAATATGAAATACATATGAAAATCCTGAATGATATAAAGTATCATAAGGGGAAAAAAGGTACAGATTGAAATAAAAATGGATTATTTTGAAGAGCCTTTGAGGGAACGAGCTGACACCATCACACTGACTAATTACTATATGACTGTTTTTGATAATTCTTTTACTGTGGATGTTTTATTGTATTTCTATTGATGTATGTGAACTGCTGAGAATCTTTTGAATTGTGACAGTGTAAACATCAAATAAATAAATAAGCAACCAAGTGGCATATCATCCTCTCTTTTGCAAACAAAAAACAAAAACCACTCTCTTCCAAGCACTACAGGAGAAGAGATGGAAAAAGGTCTTCAAGTCAGGTATCTGAGCTTTCCAGGTGCCACCGGATTCTTCCTTTTTTTGGGTTTTCAATGTCATGCATTGACCGAAAAGCCTATTAAGAATGCAGAGCCTCCAAGAATAATCCAGGGATTTTTTGGCTGAAGAAATGTCAGTCAAATTATATTTATAGAGTGTCACCTCATCCTACCTCATGACTAAAATGAAGAATACTACAGTATTCTTATGTAGAACATTCATTTTTCTTTTTGACTACACTGAAGTGATTGTGGATTTTTGCACAAGGAATCATGTTACAATAGGAATAGGACTATTTTAAAATGTTATATTTATCCTACTTTTCTAGCCTCAGAATGGCAAAAAAATATTCTTCTATATTTTTATCTTCACAATTACTGTGTAAGGTGCGCTAAACTGGGAAATATGATTAGCTCAAAGTTATTAGCATGACCTTCTCTCACTCTTTGCCCAGGAGATACATTACAAATAAGGGAAGAATATAAGGGGTAAAGCATAATAATGAATATGCAGAGCTATTCATAGATACTGATAACACTAGAAAGCTATGTGTACATTGGTAACTTTTTTTTTTTTTTTGTAAATTATTCTGATTTATCAGAACTACTTAGATTCTTGAATTAAAATACAGAATGCTGTACTGGTGCCATATTTAGAGCAAATTATTTAGGCATCTATCAGTCTCCCTCTTGTATGTCACAGACTTCACTGACACTTGCTATTTTTACACATGAGATCTGATTTAGATATTATGTCAGATTCGTCTAAATGAAGAGAAAAAAACCTTTCTTCTTTCTATGCTGATTTGTTTCTGCTGACATTCTTATGAACTGATGCCTGCTTCCATGTATAGTGCGGCAAAAGTGTAGTGCCTTTGGGTATGAGTACACATCATATTACTAGAGTGAGATTATTTATCTATACTCATATACATGGCAAAAACAGGATTAATCCTGAATTTTAAAAAATCTTCATTGTATATTTTCATCTTTGCTGTTCTGTCAGAATTGAGGATGCAATTCTATGACTTAATTAATTATATTAAAAATCTAGACAAATTGTTGTTAGAAAGCTAAATCCAGCATTAAGTTGGTGTAATAACACTTAAGAAAGGCAATTTTCTGTTGCATTCCTTCTCATTTCATGTCTTATGCAGATTCTAAATTGTGCCCATACTTTTACTGAATGAAAGTCATAATGGATTATAAAAGAAATTTTTCAGTAATGGTTCATTATTAGGAATCTCTCTCTCTCTCCACTCTTTCACACTGGAAGGGACTGGAAAATAACCCAATACTTTTTCTGTTTCTCCCAAGCAAGAAACTCCATATGCCATTTTACTGTGTTTTTATGCTATATTTTCTGAAAATTAATATACTTACATAGTAGAAATGTATAATAAATAATAGCTTATTTAATTTTCTTTCAGAATAAAATAAAATATAAATAGAATGGCTTTGCCACATGCCTGCTTCCAAACTTTTGGAAGCTGATTTCAGTTATTATATTATTATATATACTTTCCCATCAAAAAACAACTCTATTTCAAGAGATTTGCAGAAAGTTGAACAATAATAGCCATAATAGAAACTGAGTCAGTGTGGTGTAGCAGTGTAGGACAGGAGAGACTCAGGTTTCATTCTACTCTCAGCCATAGTTGTTCAATGGGTAATTTTATACCATTTATTCTTTTTCAGAATAGCCCATCACACATTGTTGGGGGAAATTAGGAAGAAGAAATGCAGTGTACACCATCTTGAGTTCCAGGATAAAATGTAGGAATATAAAGAAACAAATAAATAATCCAAGTAAAAACAAGAATAAACCAACTGCACCTGTCTGTGATCAAGTATGTGTTTTGAAACATCATCCACACCCAAGCTCTCATAGTAAATAAATACATTAAAAAAAAAAAAAAACCTAATTGTGCATCTGCTAAAAAAAAAAAAAAATGTTGAAGAAGTAGACTTGGTGTTTTTAACACAATTCATAATGGAAGGGTTGATAATTATAGACAACAAGAGAGTGAATTTCAAGATGCAGCAAGGCACTGATATGAAATTAAAATGTTGGTATATAAACAAAATTATGAAAAGTTTTATACATTAATCTCCATCAAATGGAAGGCTAAGGATTTTTTTTCCTGAATTGTTATATTTATCGACTAAAAAAAGAAAAATCTGTTACATTGTTCTCCCTTTCTAAAAATATTTTTCTTTATTTTTAAGCTGTATTCATGACAATCAAGCTGTTTGAGTAACATAAGTACCCAATGCATAACAAAATATTAAAATCACTAAGGCACCATAACTATGTTTAAGTGAAACAAAAATATCATTTATTAAAAAAGCAACAAAATAACAGGAAAACAAAATATATTGATAATAATGTTTTCAAGTACAGGTGGCAGAAAGGAATATTAAGCAGATGTTATACTATATTTGCTGATATCCACTTTTCACTCTACGTACAATACAAAGTCTGATAGATAACTATCTGTATCTACAGAGGAACAAGGAAGGGGTCAAAACTTTATCACCATCTGAAATTGTCTTGCTAAAAGACAAAGTAAGGAGAAGTTTAGACACAATATGCAGAACAGAGATATTTGATGAGAACATTGGGGAATAAACTTGTTCTCAAGACTGCATAATCATTTAACGTAATAGTTATGTCAGTCTTCCAACTCAATCCAATAAAATCAGCAGCACATAAACCACCTGCAGAAAAAGAGAGATTTTGCATCTATTACTGCAAATCTAGATTGCTGTGTTTCCTCTGCTGCATCAGGATTCCAGAAGCATTGCAGAATAGAAGGTTGGTGGTATCAGCTTTGGCGCTGCCATCTACTTGAGTGGAATGCAAAGGGGAAAATATCAGTGGGCACTCATTCATCCAGCCAAGTTGCCTATTCACTCATGATTTAATGATTGCACGTCCAAAGAATACATCCAAAACAAATTAAAATAATTCCCAATGTGAAGGAAATTCAGAAGACAATATGTCCAAACTATTGTGATGCTGCAGTTGGACATGAAGTAGACCCATATAAGCAAGTAATCAGGAAAGGGGAACATCATAAATAGAAGAGGGGAACATAATAAACAGATGTAAATGCATGAAGAATATTCTGCTTCTAGTGCAAGTTTCTCAGTGCTTTCTGTGCTACAACTGCACTATGAGGATGAACAATGAAAGAATTCCAGTAGTACTCTAGAAGAGACTTAGTGACTTGATTCTTAGAAGCCTGACTTCTGAGTTAAAAAAGTTTATTTTTAGATTAATATCACATGTTTGTTTTATACAACTCAAGACAGCATACATAATGCTTCCATATCCTATTTTCCCCACAACAACCACCCTGTGAGATGGGCTAGGCTTAGAAAGAGTGACTGGCCCAAAGCCATCCAGGTGGCTATTATGCCTAAAGGAGGGATAGAACTTACAAACTCTCATCTTCTAGACCAGCAGCTTAACTGCTATACCAAACTGGCTCTCAAGCTAGCACTTTGTTGAAAGAAAATTATCTAGAAGATTCATTGATCATTAATTCTACAGACGTGATCTTTAAACCTGCATAAATGGAAATCAACTCTACCTGTTAGATGAATCATAGCCTTAAGAGGAAAATAAAAAGAAAAAGAGGCAACTTGAATGATGTTTATGGTGAAAATATGGGGTATCCACAAAACTCCTATTAGGAAGCTTTTGTATAAAGAAAGCTATGTCTCATTAAGAGACTCCTTAATATATAAATAGAATAATGAGGTTACAGCTAGTTTACACAACATGCCTTCTGTACATTATATATTAACTTCTTGTCTGGAGGAAAAGAATAAATTAAAACATCAAAAATTCCTTAGTTTTGGAATAAATATTATTAACAATTAACTCCCTGAAACTCTTTTTTTTCTTTTCTATGCCCAGTGTTCCTTATAGCCTATAGCTTCAGAAATAGAGAAGCGAGAAAGTTATTTCCAGTTATTTAAACACTACATTATTAGTATTACAAAGGTATGAATTTTTATCATGTATCACTTTTCAAAGTTGTGATATATATTTAGGATATCCCTTCCACTGCCCAATCACAGTGAGACTGAAATAACATTGCTTACTTGGGATTGTAGTATAAAACTATGGTATGATGATGAAAGTAGAATAAACTAATTATTAAATGAAAAACCAGGATGCTGATTATTAGTTAATTCTCTGTCCAAAATGCATTTACCAGAAATTCAAGAGAAAAAACTTAAAATATTTTTAGCAATTTTCAACAGATTTTTTTTTCCCACTCAAAATCTAGATATTGTGATAGTATTTTGTCAAGATGACCAAAACTGATTCAAGTAATCCTGAAAGATATGAATAGGAATTAAGCAGAATTCCCTTAGAAATTTTAATAAAAAATTAATTATAGCAATAATCATAACAATGGCAATGAATTGTGCTATTACAGGTGTAAATAAAATATAAAAGAATACATGCTTTATCGCTATCCTACAGGACTATGACTTTTCATTAACAACATATATTTATCATTAATTATTGCAATCCCAATGGAAAAAAAATCAAACAGGGTAGTTGCAATATAACAAATTTTTCCTAGTGTTTTCACTTTTCAGTGGGTTAATATCCACTGATTATCATTGATAAAAGGTTATTGAAGGGAGACAACCATGGCATGAGAAATGCATTATCTAGTTGATTTTCTACTAACTCATAAATAAATGAATTGTTTACTATAGGAGTACAAAACAAAGGATGGAAATTTAGACGAAGTCATTAGGACAGGCTATCATATTGTACTGAACAGTCAAAAGTATAAAGTAAAACTTACTCTACAACATTGTACTATTTTTTTAAAAAATCCATACTTACGTTTACAGACAGGTGGGCTTCCTTTATTACTCCATAATCCATCTTCTTGACACACTGCTGTTGCTTGTTGACTAGATTCTAGCTTGAAGCCTTCATTGCATTCATATATCACTCTGCTGCCCAAAATAAATTCATTACCCCAGACTGAACCATTTCCAGGAGATTCTGGAATACCACAGGATACAGCTGAAAAGGGGGATTAAGGGGAAAAAAGGTCTTACTTCAGAAAGTTATCATAAAAATTATTCTTTACTGCTGTAGATAAAAAAATACTATATGCATTACATTATATATATATATTGTATTGCTGCTGAAAAAAACACACATTTTAACAGTTGTGCAAAATCTAATAATAACAGGAAGAATATTTTGAAAAGGTACACTGTTACCACAACTAAAAAATTTTTTCTCCATATTTGGTAGAGTCCAAAATTTTCTCCATATTTGGTAGAGTCTTTCACACCCTGTTTTCTCCTGCTTTACTGCTTCTGCTATGTTAATAGAAATGCATTAACCAATCTTGACTTCCTTGGCTTATTTTTAAGTATATTTTTAAGTTTTTTCCCCGTGTACTTGATTTACATTATTCTCTTTGTTTAAAATCATGTTTACAGTTTGTGGCCCTTATATAACACTCAGATACCATATCTGAAAATGCTGTGCCCCTTCCTCTACTACAGGTAGTCCTTGTTTAGACACCACAGTTGGGACTGATAACTTGGTTGCTAAGTGAAGCGGTCACTAAGTGAAACCACAACAGTGCTTATGATCTTAACTCAGCTTTTCTTTGCTTTCCAGACCTGTGAAGGTCATAAATGTAAGAATTGGTTGTAATGTCACTTTTTCATCACTGTTGTAACTGCGAATGGTCACTAAATGAGGCAGTCATTAAATGAGGACTACCTGTATCATTATTGCACTTTGAAACATTTCCATGTATTATGGCATAATAATCTAGCCAATTAAACCATGGTACTTATATGAGCAACTTTTAAAAAAATATGACTATTTTATCATTTTTACACACTTCATTGTATAATTTGTTCTGCAATCCCATATCCTTGGATTGTATATTTGAAATCCCCTTTGCTGAACTGCATATATAACATAATGAGGTACTCTGTATATTTTATTCTTAATGGGTTAGAACCAGACTTAGTCTCATTAAAATCAGTTAAGCTTCATTTAGTTATGAGTAACTTAAAGCTACTGATTTTAGTAGATTAGCACTAAGGATTATTCTACATCCAATTGAATATTTTAAAATATTAAAATAAAGGTACAAATGTTGGCCAAATAATCTCTTAAGCATAGATCCCTTGGTCTGGGAAGCATTCTTGCTTTACCTTTTTTTACCTTTAAAAAAAACAAACAACAAAAAGCCCGTAGTTAGGAAACTTGACCATGGTATTATAATTGAATTACTTCAGTAACTTTAAATGTAAACATTGCTATTTTCTTCAGATATAATTATTCTGAATGCACTGTTGGCTCTGCAGTTTTTGCTGTTTGTAGTCACTAAAAGTAACAGTAATAACAATAAATTATAACACCTTGGAAGAGAGTCAAATCTTTTGTTTCACAGTAAAAGTACTTGACCAGATAGGAAATAAAAAATATTTTTGACCTAACCAGCTTAGCCCAAGCTACTACAGATGTGTGCCTATAAAAATTCAAACAGTTATGAAACAAAGAAAGGAACTACACAATTTTCTGTAATAATGAACAGAGGCACATTAGATTCCAATCACTGTTTACAGTACAATCCTGGTGCTTAATTACAAGTTATACCAGAGGAGTCAGTTCAACAAATTCATACATAATGAAATTGCCTGCTTCGGGGAAAAATCCACCAAAACATAGAAAATAAACTAAACAAGTTGATGCTAATTAGTTTCAAGAGACTAGTTAGTATTCTAGGACAGAACAATGTTGTGCTTAAAAACCCTGGAAACCAAATAATTCTGTTAAGATCTGTACTGTAATCGTAACAAAAAGAAAATCAGGTATGGCCCATTCAATACCTAATTCAAATTTTGATGCAATTTTACCGTTTATCCATATAGCAGGTGTAGCATCAGGGTTAGAATGGCTGGACATCTGCAGAAGACTCATGCATTATCAAGGTCCTGCAACAGGCAGCTGGGCTTCAGAATGGAAGCCGAGATAGTTCTCAGCCTATGTTGATTCTGCCTCTTAAAATACTTAACATTAAAAATGGGAACTACATTTTGGGTAATTTAAGATGGCAGGCAATAAGGATTGAGTGAGGTGAGGATACGCTCTTGTTCTAAAATGCTATTCTTACCTTCTCAGAGAGGTAATTGGTACAGATTATGGTAGGTGGCAGACAGGAGAGAAAATTTAAAGAGGCACATGTGGCAGGAGGAAAATTGTGCATTGGATGTATAGGCAGGAGGAAGAGGAGATGAATGGGAAAGAGAAATGATAATATTTATTATAAGGCATGCTGAACATTTCAAATAAGCTTTGTAAGTCATAGCTATGATGATGGTAGTTATGATGACGATTCTAATATACAGGTAGGATCATAAAACCACAAACTCAAAGAGTCAGAATGGATTACTTGGGCCATCAAGTCCAACCTCCTGCTCAATGCTAGAATTCTAAATTAAAGAATTCTTGCAGATGGCTGTCTAGCTCTACCCACCTCCTCTTTGGATAATTGGTTCTGTATTGGTTGAGAGTTAAAACCATTATTCTCTGCCCTGCAGTCTGAGGTTATGGAGAACTTATTTTTAACTTTTTTCTGTTGACAGCACTTCAGCTACTTGAAAAATGCTATCATACCTCTGCCCAGTTTTTTTCAACACTATCACAATTCCTTCAATTTCTCTTCATAGGATTTAGTTTCTATTCCCCAATCATCCTTTTTATCCTTCTCTGATAGTTTCTCTGAACTATGTCTGATGTTTTAAAACTACATCATACTGCTACTCATGTTCAGTTTGCAAACAACTTTGCAATTAAGATTTTTTTCACCATTAACAAGCCAAGATAGAATGGTCCTCCATCCTATATCTGTGCATTTGATTTTTACTCCTGAGTAAATAATTCTGCATATGTTTCTGCTAATGTTCATTTTATTTTCATTCTACTTTCTAATATGTTAAGAGAATTTACTATTTTGTTTCTAGGATACTAGCTATCTCACCCAATTTTGTGTCATCATATCTTGATAAGTCTGTGTTTTCTTCCAAGTCATCAATAAAAAATACTGAAGAATGTTGAACCCACAACTCACCTTTCAGCATGCTGTATTTGACCCCGGATTGATGAGGAGGCTTTGATGAAAATGCTTTGGATATGTTTTTTTGAGGCAGTTGTGCGTCTACATAATTGTCATGCAATCTAGCCCACATTCCATAGGTTGCTAATAAAAATGTCATGATATAACCTGTTGAATGCTTTGTTGAAATCAAAATGGATTATGTCAATAGCATTCCTGCAATCTACTAAGGAAGTTATCCGATCAAGAAATTAAATAGTCTAGCAAGATTTGTTTTTGACACATCCAGGATGACTTTTGCTAATTACTGCTGTTTTCAAGGTGCTTACAGATCAATCCTTTTAAGGACTTTGTATTGTTGAAGGCTTTCACGGCCGGAATACGATGGCTGGTGTGGGTGTATTGTCGAAGGCTTTCACGGCCGGCATACGATGGCTGGTGTGGGTCTTCCAGGCTGT